AGTCGTCCTCAGTAAGGGTGGAGCCATCCTCTGTTGGTTTCTTGATGGCGTCTGCTGCAGGTTCTGTCTCGGGCAGGAGGTTTGCGTAGTCTTCTGAGAGCAGGCTGCTCACACGAAGCTGCCAGCGGTAGTAGTCGAGCTCATCTCCATCGAGGACGGGCACAGAGAGCTTGACGTCATCGAGAGTGACCTCGCAGAGGCGTTGAGTAGCGGCGAGAAGCTGACTCTCGGTCATCGCTGTAGTCCAGTTTTTGCTGCGCCCATGTTGAAGTTGTTGTGTGGATAGCAGAGTCCCACAGATCACGAGCGTTGATAAAAGAGCGGCAGAGAGGTCCAACATAAACAAGCAGGCAGGCAAACACGAAGGCGAACACGAAAAGGCACGTGGCCTTGGCGAGCTGGGCTATCGGCGACCCACGATGACATGCAGGCTGGCTGGGCTTATCGGCGACCCACTTACATGAAGGCAGAGGCAGGAAACAGGCAGCAAAGTCAGTCAACGCTCAAGTGTGCCAAAACAGTAGGTAGAGCGCTGTGACTCGTAAAACACATGGCAAATCCCAACACTGGGTACGTTCTTCGGACCCACACACACTACATACACACACACTCGTTACATGCGGACCTCTGTGGATGTGGTGCTGCGTGTGTGTATGGTGTGTGGACTCAGGTGTGTTTGTTTGTTTGTTTGTCTCTTCGTTTGTGTGGCTCGGGTTCGTTGCGCTTGGTTGGGTTGATTACATCAACGTTGAGCGTCCGGTGATTGATCCTCATTCACAGCCGCATCTCGGCACTCCCACTCACCACTCATGGACATCAGCATCTACTTACGATATGCTGCAAAGACCACTGGCCTAGAAAGGACTGGGTGAATGTGTGTGTCTAAGTCGGTTGGCATACCGAGTAAGCAGAGTATCTCTCTCGCTTCGCTTAGGAACGCAAATCATTGTGTACAAGTCTCAGAGAGCTCGTCAGTCAGTCAGCTCGTATCTCAACCAGCGCTTGCCGGCGCAAACCAGTGCCAATCGGAACAAGAAGCGCAATGGACGGCCATGCATTGTCTGTACATGGATAAAAAGAGCCCGTTCTTCTCACTGATGTCCAGCCACTCCTTCCAGCCAGCTTCAGGCAGGCACACGACATGCAGCTCATACAGGGGGAGAAACTGTCATTAACCGTAACACTCGTCTGTGTGTCCGTGATACTCATACAAATACAGTCCCATCAGCACGCAGAGTCAAACAGGCTCAAGGGGAGGAGGGATCAATCCCCGCCCCATCAGCACACCCCAGTCCCGCAAACCCTCCCCTCCCTCCCCCACGCAGACAGAAGCTAGTCGCACGCGCGAGGGCGATAGACAAGCGAGAGCGAATCCATCCAGACACATGACTGAACCCCCGACCCTTCCACCCCTCCTTCTCCAACAGCGCATGAGCCATGTGGGCGATGAACACGTTGGCATCGTGTCCCCACACACCGTCACACGTCACCACCAGAGGGCAGAAGGTCA